AAGAACAAAAAGGTCAGCAACTAGGAAACCACAGCTCAGTCTGTCTTAGCCTGAACCCCAATGAACTGAATGAGAATGAAAAACAAAACCTTTTAATTCTGCTTTCTCTTCTTCCTTATCTTCTTCTTAAAAATAAGAAAGGGGTGATATTCTGTAGCAGTTGTTAGCAGCTCTTCACTTTGGCATTTCCAAAACTGGTAAAGGTCATTGTCAAAATTAGCATATTCAACTTGCTAAAAGATTTTCTTCTGCTATAATTAAGATACTAAATCTACACTGACATAACTAAAAAAATTTTGCCTGGTTTCCTCACGGAACCCAGCAGCAAGCTTACTCTTTAGGTGTCCAACATTCAAAGCAAAGGTTCCAAAGTTCTGGCCTCTGTTTTACAAGGTGATTTTTACTTTTTAACACCACCCTCCTCTCCTGTATCATACATTACTAAAAATTCATGCTCAACATTGAACACATAAAAATGCTATTACTGATGGATTATAATTCCAATCACGCACTTACTAAAGCTTTTCCTTTTTCAGTATCCATGCAAACCTAGGGCATTCAGCCACTAAAACAAGTCTAGAAACAGGAGCTCTTTTTTGTTCCTTATATCACCATGGAGACAACTGGTCCTCACATTGAGAGTGGCAAATCCACAGTTTAAAAGGCTTAAAACACAGATGTGGCTCAAGCCTCTCACCTGCCCTTTGCTTCCTCACTCCTGTCTTTCTCTGTTACAAGGAATGTGCAGTTACCACACGTGTTTAGTTGGACACAGCAGTGAAGGTTGGGCACAAAATAGACACCCAGTAACACCTGTTTGGATTCAGTTGCACTATTTCTACGTGGGAGTGTAGAATGTGGGACCCCAAAAGTAACCAGAGATGAACAAGTTGAAATAGAAAAATGACCAAACCCGAGCAGAGCACATGAAATGTATCACTACTGTGTAGCACACAAAACATATCACTACTGTGGAGTAGAAGAAAAGCAAGAGTTCTTGAGTGCTGGAATTATGTACAACACCTGGACAGACATGCCCTTTGAACAGAAAACACAATTCTCCTTCACCAGGAGGGCATTAACTTAATGTTTGTGTAAAGTACAGTTCTGCTGTTCAATGAAAGCTATTCTTGCTGCTTACACCTTTGGTAACTTTTTAAAATTACAGCTTGAACTGAGTAGAAAATCAGTTTGAGAGAAGCAGGAAAAAGCTTAAAAACATCTTTCCCCTTGCATTTAACTCCTCCCTGCCATTCACAAGGACAACCGGGTGAGTTAATACCCAGTCCTTGTGACATTTCACGCTCAAGTTCTCACCAGCTGATCTAACAACATATCGCCCTTTGCCAGGCCTTTAGAATTTGGACTTTGAAAGGCTGAAATGTGCAAACACAAAAGAACAGCCACCTCAGAATTTAGAAGTTTGAAGGAAAACTGAGATCTCTAGAAGTGAGTAGCCATCTCTGCAGCCATCCTTTTTCAGCAGTTGGATGGGACAACAATTCAATTGCACTGGTTGCCTTCTGGTGTGGCCTCCTCATAGAGTTTGCAAATACCACCACCAACAAAAAACTACTTCTGGTAACTTTACCCCCATGACTGAGTTACATTTTGCTAGAAGAGTTAGAAAGGAGCTGAACTGTAAATCTACAACCATCAAAAACTGGCTATAGTAGGTTTATCTATTCCTTTAACAGACATTTAATTATCTCCCCTGTTTCACAGTACAGCATTTTTAAGTAAATACATGCTTGAAGAAGCAGACAAAGAAAGAAATGGGACAAGATGATAATCAGACAGGTGCTTTCTTTTCATAAAAACCTATCAGACAGCTCCAGGGCCTTCTAGAGAGAAAATAAGATACATATCACATGCCAGACCTGCCTAAATCACAGAGATATTTAAATGCAGGGGTACAGAGGCAGTAGATCTAGGTGTAGGTAGAAAACAATCTTACTACAGTCCTGTCCTAAGACTCCATAAGAAAAAAAAAGTCAAAAACTAATGGATGGTAAAGTATCAGGTTTGTTTTGAGGTTCATTTGCAGTAACAGGATTCTTCCCATGGTCATGAAGGAAGCATTTCATTTTGATTCATGCCAATAACACCTGTATGGTCCCCTGTTATATAATACAAGAGCTTGTTCCTTATTTTTTTATTGAAAACAACCACAAAACTTCTGTGTGAAATATATTTAAGTCTCATATGTTGACCATATGCTGATATATTATATTCCCATGCTATGTTGTATATAGCACTGTCATTACACTGTAATTCTGGACATTTTCAGAATGATATATCACAGCTCCATCACTCCTATTGATTTTAGCCTTCAGATCATTTGATTCCGTTCAGTGTGCAGCCTGGTTTATTTATTTTCATACCTCCTTCTCTCTCTTCAGCCCTTACTGTTGTCATCCCCATGGGTAATATTCCATTGCCCTATCCTAATTTCCCATGCCTACATTCTCAAGCCCATCCAAATCCATGGTTGGGTTCTTATGCCTTAATTTTCCAAGCTTTCATTGTCAGGATTGTGGGGCCGACTCTCAAAATCCCCCCAGGAGGTTTGAACACCTCACGTCCATGAAATTTAACAAAATACCAAAATCCCTAGGCTGAAAATATTGCCTCTGACTCTAAATACAATACATTCAGAAAAAAAAAAAAAAAAAAAAGGTTGTTTTTCATGAAGGTCAAGTAATCAGATAAGAACACAGCCACAACACCAGAAGCTTAATAAACTCCCCACTCCTTTGCAAGAACCTTTCCCATCTTTGCTGACTGCTGAGATATTCATCTGTAGCTCCAAGCATTGCCCTCCCCAACCAGTTCACATCTGTTTAGCAGTAAATACACTTCTGCAGGCTGGATAAAAGAACCCATTTCCTGCAGAGATCTCTGTAGCTGCTACAGAGAAACCAGAATCAAATTATCTCTCTGTCTTTTTTTTTTCCTCTTAAAAAAAAAAAAACAAAAAAAACAAACAAACAAACAAACAAAAAAAAAAAAAAAAAAAAACAAAAAAAAAAAAGGTTTTCTTTTTTAATCTGTGGCAACTTTTCAACTGCCAGTGATGATCGAAACAGAAATGCAAAGAAATCAACTTTCCAAACACTGGGAAAATGGGCTACATTCTTTTCAGGGCTGAACAGAATTATTTTTTTTAAAAATCGGGGTTGTTATACAGTTTTGTAAATATAAACTTTTAGCTATGCTTTCTGTGTAAAATAAGTTTGGAGTTTTAAACTTTCTCACTGAAAAGACAGGGCTGTTGGAACTTCCCCCCTCACTGTACAGAAATTTAATACTATGCAATGAAATGCAGCTTCCTTGAATAGAAACTGCAATTTGAAGGCTTTTGAACTGTAAATCTGAGATAAGCTGGGGCTTTTTGATGTTCATCTGAACCTGAACTCCAAACAATATGAAATTCACACATCATTATTAATTACACAATGCAGTGATTTTGACTCCAGAAGTGCTGTCAAAGAGAAGAGCTATCATTATAAATGCTGTGATAGCACTTATTTGAATAAGCTGAAAGAACAGGAGGTTTATAGAACTAGAACTTATTATGAGACAACCCACTTCCAAAAGGAAAGAGGAAGGAATGCTGCAAAGGAGGAGATACGAATAAGGATGTTCTTTGTTTAACTGCCATGCCAGGAGAGTTGAAGTCTCCTTCCCCAAACACATTAAAAAGAAACAGGTGATCAGATCCTCACCATTCCAGGAAACAGAGACAGAAGAGGACACACTTAAGGAGGGGAATAAGATTCAGCAGGAAAAAAAAAGGAGCAGGTCAGAAGAAACTATCTGTAAGGTTTTATAACAGGTCTGCACATCACTAACTTTCTAAAAGGTGCAGATTTTGCATTCTACAGGAATGACCTGGTTAGAGAAGAACCAGTCCAGGCTCTGCTGCAGACTGCAATCATTCCTGCCTCATATTTGCCCAGAATGAGGTAGAATTGCCAACATGACTTCACACATCACTTCAAAACACAGTAAAGAAGAACCACATTAGCTATTTTCTTTTCAGAATGTAAACTTTACCAGCCTAAGGAAAATGCCACATTACATGAAAAATATATGAAAAAAGGCTATGGAGAATATGACCAATCAGTAAGGTCATAACACACACCCCCTGTCTGCAGGACAGAGCACATGTTCACTGCATTGTAGCCTCCAGAAACAATCCATGTCTGTGGTGACCCCATCCAATACTATGCCATGCCCATGAAATTAGCTTAGAAAATACTTTTGGAGCTAAGTACAAATACATACTCTTCAAAATCTGTATTAATTTCATCTCTGATTCTACAGTGTACTATATGTAATACTATGCTGAAGTGCATTCAAAATCCCCAAAGAATTAGTTAAAAAAAAAAAAAAATTATTATGCTTTTCAGCTGAAGCATTTGAATTAAACCTGCAACAGGAAAGCTTCCAGAGGTACCACAGGGTAACAGTCTAACAGAATATTGAACCGTATTTATTGAAAACTGTAAATTTAAATTAATGCTTATGCTCTAAATAATAGGAACCATCTCATTTGTATTTGCAAGCAGACCAAAGGTATCACACCCACTGGCATACTTCAGCAAGATCCACTAGCCACTCTTAAACTGCAACAGGCACTCACATTTCATTTGAAATATTTCCTGATAGGTTGATTTTAGCTGAGGCTAATCACACTCTAAAGATAATTTAAGTTCAATCACATCTTAATCCTAACTAACACATTCAAACACATATAAGCCCTGGGCCACAAAAGCAAAGGTGGCAGAGGTCAGCTTTAAAACAACCTGGTGAAGACCAGGGTTTGGGTGGAGAGGAGGGGTTAGAGGGATAGAGAAAAGTTGAGAAAAGGAAGACAATTTTTTTGGTTTTTTACATGCAGACAGTCTGGTTTATCAACACCAAATTCAGGCTAGTACAATTGGATTATGTCTTACTGGTAACTGGCTGTTTTTTCGTCTTTGTTTTTCCCCTAGATACCATTGTCTATGAATGTGTCAACATTTCTTGCCTATGATCAGCCCACGCTCAGTTACTGTGGAGTACATCATGAACTGCTGGCTCACAAGCCCTATGACTCAAATAACCAGGAAGAAACAGTGGAAACACACCTAGAGACTGATCTGGATCTGAGCACAATAACAACAGCAGCACGAATCAAGGAACACAGTCAGCAGCTGGCTTAAATGGGGGTTAGAGCTTGAGGGTTTTTTTGTTGTCGGGGTTTTTGTCCTGTAGCAGAGGCTGCAACCAAATTCTATGTAACATTATGGACAGAAGTGAGAAGACATAATACTATGGATTCTAATATTCCTGTTCAAATTAAAAACGAATCACAAAGATTAATTGTTTCAAGTCTACAATTTGTAATTAGTTAAGTTGTGCAGTATTTTTTGACTCCAGAGTATGACCCTTGAAGTGAACCTTTTTCAAAACTCATCCTACCTACCTGTATAAACTGTACAGATGTAATGTATTTTTCATATTGTAAAGTTTCAATTACCAAGAACAGCTGGTATGTACAGTGTCATAATTTAATTACATCTTATTTTACAAGCTTCTGTTTCTAAAGTTTCAAATTAACAAGTTATTTCTTGTGTTATTCAGTTACTCTGTTTTGTAGGGACCAATTTGTTACTGCTTTTGTGCCCAGAAAACTTGAACCTAAAATTCTGTCCTTTGCAGAATATGCACCATTTTTACCATGTTTAATGTGTAGAATTTTATCTACTGGTTCCAGAGGAAGGGTTTAACTATTCACTTCTAAGAAATTCTTAAAACACATAACCAAGTTTTCCTAGAAATGATAATTTAAAAAAAAAAAAAAATTAAATTCTACCTGTTGCCTTGAAATACAGTCTGACTTCTAAATCACAAAAAATGTATCAATACATTTTAACAAGGAAGTTTATGTAGGCAACTGTTAACCGAGGTTGGTGATGTATTGTAAAGTCTCAGTGTTCTGCAAGATAATATGGGCAGGAGACTTCAATAAGCAGCTACAAAATCTCTGTGAATGTAGAGTCTGCCAGATCAGGCACTTGCACTTCCTTTTAAAGACAAGTGGGTCCAAAATCTACTTATGCCACAGACAGTTGTTGACAGAAGTGGCAACAGAAACAAGCTCTTACACTAATCTGAGAAAGTAAAATATTATTCAAAAGTAAGAAACATCTACTTGCTGAAAAATATAGTAATTTGGAACAAATGGTAAATGTTAATAGGCTCTTAGTATTATGATACGGCAAGCTAAGAAAAAAAACCACCAAAACCTTTAAATAATTTAAAAAAATAAAAATAAATTTAGTATTAAGTCTCTACCAATTACTACATTACCTTTTTGTCTATCATTTAATATCTGGATCGAAGCAGTCTTATATCCCATTCTTCAGTTTTTAAACCCTCAAGACTTCTCAATACTGTATGAGAGTAACTTTTATAATGATGTAATCAGAAAAGATTACAGAAATTAGGCACACATTATATCATGCCGACTTGGTGAAATACAAAAGGGAACATGAGCCTTCCAAAATATAGGAGAAAAATGTTTCATATGGTGAAGCAACTTTTTTATAATAAAGAGAAATTATATAACCACAAATCTATTTTTCTGGATGTTTATCCCAACATATTTTCATGTAGCTTCAAAGCAGAAGACTGAAATTTAAAATTACAGTCAAACTGGTTGCACAAAAAGAAGTGAATAGAATGAAAAATAGCTTCAAAAAATTGTTAACAAATCAGTCCGCATTCACTATCTTTCAAGTGGAAACAAAGTGTCAAAACAGAATACATTGTATTGCTTATTTATTTAGCACCTTATATTTTGTAACATATTTTGCATAAATTATTTGCTATTCAAAACATCACTTGTCTTTTAAAGACTCATGTTAAAGTTCCACACTTTAATTTCTTATGGGTTCTTGAATTTGTGGTCACCTTCTACAGTGCTGGAATTTTACTACCCATAGTTTGAAAATCCATTTTGGTAATGGTACACTGAAACCAAAAAGGCAGGTGTCACTGGCAGGAAGAAGTCAACTGCATCCTTCCACGGTTCATTTTGGGGTTTAATGTTTAGGCATTCTGGCACTGCAGCAGGTCTGAGCTGTTAGGATCAAACACCCTGCTCCCAAAAGATCATCTCAGTTACTCTTACTCTGTAATTCCTATTATTTACCTTGGCCCGCTGCCCTCAAGTATTTACAGTGTGGGAACAAGGTCCCGGCACTGACGCAGTTACTCAAAATGCCCAAGTGTTCAGTGGCTCCACGTACTTGTGATTTCTGGAGAACTGTACAACTGTACAACGCGAGTATTTCCAATGTTAGACACCAATGAATTTTGGCTAACACGAGAAAACATCTTCTTACACTGAGAATAAAACCTTTTTGATGTATCTGGTTAAAGAAGCACAACTGAGGAGATATTCACATACACACAAATATTTCTCCTTCTTTTTTCCTCAGCTGATGAATCCCAATACTTGCAGTCCCAGACCAACACATCACTAGGCAAATGGTAGACTCAGAGTCACAGAAGTAGCAGTGACTCTGCACCTCAATCATCTGTTGCACAATCAGCTTCCCAGGCACATAAGCTGAACATGAGCCTGAGTGTGCCCAGTGGCTAAGAAGGCCAAGGGCATCCTGGCCTGTATCAGGAATAGTGTGGCCAGCAGGAGCAGGGAAGTGATTCTTTCCCTGTACTCAGTGCTGGTGAGGTCACACCTGGGGTACTGTGTTCAGCTCTGGGCCCCTCGGTTCAGGAAAAACATTGAGGTGCTGGAGTAGGTCAAGAGAAGAGCAACAAGGCTGGGGAAGGGACTTGAGCACAAGTCCTATAAGGAGAGGTTGAGGTAGCTGGGGTTATTTAGCCTGGAGAAGAGGAGTCTTAGGGGAGACCTCACCACTCTCGACGACTACCTGAGAGGAGGTTGTAGCCAGGTGGGGGTTGGTCTCTTCTCCCAGGTAACTATCAGTAAGACAAGGGGTCAAGTACAACAATGGTCTCAAGCTCTCCCAGAGGAGGTTTAGGTTAGATATCAGGAAGAAATTCTTTACAGAGAGGGTAATCAGACATTGGAATGGGCTGCCTAGGGAGGTGGTGGATTCTCTGTCCTTGGAGTTTTTTATGAAGAGATTGGATGTGGCACTTAGTGCCATGGTCTAGTAACTGTGGTGGTAGTGGATCAAGGGTTGGACTTGGTGATCTCACAGGTCCTTTCCAACGCAGTTGATTCTATGATTCTATTACACGAAATACTAGGCTCTCTGTAACCCCTTCTAGTGCTCTGAAAGATGGATACAACATTCCAGGGGCCAAGGCAGCAGGGGAATACCTGCCCACCCCAAACCTAGGCCACTAAAACATACATTTCTGTATATATGAAGTGGATGCCATTTTTTCAGTGGGCTACATCAACCTGAAACCTGCTATTCTCAGCAAGGTGGATGCCCTGAAGAAAGCCAGATGGCAGGTAGGTACCTTCTCTAAAAGACCATCATGAAAAAAATTTAGGTTAAGCTAATCCAAACAAGAACTCATTCCTAAATGCCTGTGTTAGTGTGTGTACACCTGCTTTCCAACATATTCTTGCCAGTGCTGAGTGCACAGAAATACCAACTGCTGTAGTTAACATGGACAAACCAAAAAACTATCACCTAACAAAGCCCCAGCCTTCTAAGCTAAGTTAGCAAGAAAAAAGTAGGTTGACTGTATGGGTTCAAATATTTATTAACAGGGAATCACTTTCATGTATCATTTCCCTTTGCAATAAAGATCCATAAACCAGAAATAGAAGCAGCCAACAGCATCAATCTCTGTCTCACAGTTAAGTGACACCATCAGACCCTGGAAGATCTTTTCACCAAGAAAAAGCTGGGTGAATTCATTACACTTGCAAAGTATAAACTGATAGAGAGTACAACCTCTAGCAATAAAAGAAATCCAGACAATTTTAAAAATAAATCTAGCTACAAGCAACAATTCACACCATCCATCAGTGCATCAGGAGGTACAGCCATGCACAGGGCTGAAACACCCAAGCCCAAGTATCTGAATGGAGGTCCTGTCTAGAGAAGAAGGTACATAGGAAGATTCATGATTAATTTGAAAAATTCCTGCACGTCTCCAGACAGGTAAAAAAAAACCCTCAAACAAAAACAAACTCCATAATAACATCTAGCAAAGGAAGCAAATGACTGCTTCCATTAAAGTGTACTTGTAGTACAAACTATTCTCAAGGGTTCTGAGAGCTACCACTAACAAACAAAAAACCCCAAAAACGTCAGAAATATACACACTTTTCAGAGGTACCTTGCAAATATCACTTAGCAACACACAACAAATGGAAAATGGTAGCCTCAGTAGTTGTGTACTAACTTGCTTTACTGACAGCCCCACATTTTCTCTCTCTCCCTCTCTCTAGGCATTTATCATCTCCTACTGTTATTTCCAAGCTTCGGATTTGGCAGGAAAAGCAAAACATGAACGGTAAAAAAAAAAAAAAAAAAAAATACCCAAAAAACAAACCCACAACACCAAAACTGCAAAGTCAACACCACAACCTGAAAAACAAAGCCACAAATTCAGTGTCAATGCAACTGTAAAAAAATCTGGAAATTGCTTTATTAGCAATGAAGATGCTCAAAGATGGTTAATGCAAACAAATTACATGATCAGGTATCGTGTCAGACACCAGCAGCTGTATTCAGTTCCCAGCTAGTCTAGCAAAAAGGATCTTTTGAACAGCTGAAAAAGAACAGCTTAGCTCATGTTCTCCAGCCCAATCCTGCTCTCCTCAGGGAAAGGTCACAGGGACCTGGCCTTCCTGAAGGTAAATCTTACCAGTAAAGGCTGAATATAATAATGGTTTGACTTGGTCAGAGCACTGGTCCACCTAGGCTTGATAATCTGTCTCAAACAGCAGCTGAGAGATGAAGCCCAAAGAACCCAAGACTGGGGCAGGCACACAGCAGCATCTCCCCAGAAAGCCTCCACAGATCCCGACGATTTGTGGGTCAGGGACTTACTGAGTCAAGTGTGGTATCTCCCTCTCTGAACGTGTACACAGCTTCTTTGAGCCTCAGAAACTGGTAACATTCACAGCTGCTGCAGAAAGTAAATCTACTTTGACAAGAAGAGCTGCCTCTTCTCTTTGTTCTAGTAGAAATTAACCATTTCCATTTTCAACACAGAAATACAACTATCCCATAACTGATAATGACAGCTTGACAACTGCCAGGTAGCACCAACAGCAGCCATGCAGTCACCTCAAGTACAGACATTACCTGACACCCCGTGGCATTAATTATCAGATTTCCCCTGGGACCGGGGGGAG